GAAGGGAGGAGGGAGGAGGGGGGAGGGGGGAGGGGAGGAGGGAGGAGGGGCGGGGGGCCCCTCCCCTGGGGCCTGGGCTTGGGGGGGGGTGCCACGGTACCCGCCCCCCCCCCCCGCCCCTCGCTGCCTCACTGGGACGGGGTGGGGGGGCGCTGGCAGTCCCTGCCCCTGCATTGAGAGCTCAGTCACCTGCATGGGGAGGAGGATTCTCAAAGTTCCTTTAACAATTCAGCGGCCCCATTTTGAGTGTCTCTGTGTCAGTGATGTTTTCCATCGAGCAACACATTTACTGAAAACAGGGAAATTTTAAAAAGGGAAATAAAAACTGTCCTCAGGCCCGGGTTCCGGAGCCGTCACTGTGAGCGGGGGAGCCCCCGGGTGCGTCTGCCGCCTCCTGCCTCTGCCGCTGGGTCCGAGCCGGGCTGCTCCCTCCGTGGACACACAGGAAGTTTTAAAATGAGAGACGGCAGCAGTGTCTTCACGGGTCTGCGTCCTGACTTCCCGGAATCCTCCCACCGGGGGCTACAACAGCCCCTCCCGGCCTGGGGCGCCCTCACGCAGGTCGCCAGGGTCCGAGATGCAGACCAGAGCACCGGGCTCACTGGAGGCTCGTACACGACGACTGCCCCAAGCAAACACGGACACTCACGCTGAAGAACAAGGGGCCGTGTGCCTGACATTCGGAGTCACTGCCCTGCAGGCCTGGCAGCCGACCCCGGTGCTGAGGGCTGCAGACGCTGGGGCCAGGCCTGCTCACACCTGCAGGGCCTGGCCTGGCTCACACCATGCCTGCTACCCGGGATCCTTACCCTCGGCTCCGTGTCCCTGCTCCCCGCCAGGCGCCCGGCCATCGATCCCTTCCCTCCCCCGAGGCCTGCGAAACCCACTGGCAGACAGGGAAGGCGAGGCTGAGCTGAGCCGGTGCCGGGGTCTCAGCCAGAAGGGGGGTGTGGGTCTAGTCTGCCCACTGGGGGCCCTTCATTTGGGCCGAGGAGAATGAGAGGCGGCTCAGCCTGGAGGCGGGGAATGGGCCCAGGGGCCTCCACCAGAGCCCAGGGGCCACGGCCCGCTCCCAGCCCCCCGCCCCCAATGGCGGGCTCCGGCTCCGGCTCCGGCTGGGGAGACCTCTGGACAGGCAGACCGGCTGGACGGAGAGCCTCTGCTGAGCGCCCGGCTTCGAGCTGCGGAGACAGCTCCTGCGGAGCCTCGAGGCTTCCCTGCACATGTGCTCTAGTCCGAGCGTTCACGGCGGGAGAGGCTCACGGCGGAGAGGAGAGAGGCCCACGGCGGAGAGGAGAGAGGCTCACGGCGGAGAGGAGAGAGGCCCACGGCGGAGAGGGGAGAGGCTCACGGCGGGAGAGGCTCACGGCGGAGAGGAGAGAGGCTCACGGCGGAGAGGAGAGAGGCCCACGGCGGAGAGGAGAGAGGCCCACGGCGGAGAGGGGAGAGGCTCACGGCGGAGAGGAGAGAGGCTCACGGCGGAGAGGGGAGAGGCTCACGGCGGAGAGAGGAGAGAGGCTCACGGCAGAGAGGAGAGAGGCTCACGGCGGAGAGGAGAGAGGCTCACGGCGGAGAGGAGAGAGGCTCACGGCGGAGAGAGGAGAGAGGCTCACGGCAGAGAGGAGAGAGGCTCACGGCGGAGAGGAGAGAGGCTCACGGCGGAGAGAGGAGAGAGGCTCACGGCGGAGAGAGGAGAGAGGCTCACGGCAGAGAGGAGAGAGGCTCACGGCGGAGAGGAGAGAGGCCCACGGCGGAGAGGAGAGAGGCTCACGGCGGAGAGGAGAGAGGCTCACGACGGGAGAGGCTCACGGTGGAGAGGAGAGAGGCTCACGGCGGAGAGAGGAGAGAGGCTCACGGCAGAGAGGAGAGAGGCTCACGGCGGAGAGGAGAGAGGCTCACGGCGGAGAGGGGAGAGGCTCACGGCGGAGAGGGGAGAGGCTCACGGCGGAGAGGGGAGAGGCTCACGGCGGAGAGGGGAGAGGCTCACGGCGGAGAGGGGAGAGGCTCACGGCGGAGAGGAGAGAGGCTCATGGCGGGAGAGGCTCACGGTGGGATGGGGGTGGGCGGGGCCTTAGGAAAGCGCTGGAATTAGTCTCTCTGGACCCTTTGCTGCCTCCCCCTGCAGACCCTCCCCTGCCTCCCTGTGCCCCCCCTCCCCCGCTCCTCACCCAGGTCTGCAGACAGGGAGGCACCGAGACCAGCCCCTCCCGAGGTGCCGCCACCTCGCAGCCCTGCAGCCTGGCAGCCGGCAGGTGGGAGCCCGGCCGCTGTCCGCCTGCAGCGGGTGGGGGCAGGGCGGCTGCCGGCAGGAGGCCCTCGGCAAGGCCTGAGGGATGGAGCTGTCCGAGCCCAGTGTCCGCTCCAACCCGTGTCCCCATGGCAACGGCACAGCCTCACACCCAGGACCTGGTGCTGAGCCAGCGCAGCCCTGACAGCACCCCTGCCCCTCTGAGCCCCTCCCTGTGGTACTCACAGGCCGGTCCCCTGGGGTCCTGTCACCTGGGGGGGCTGTCAGCTGGGGGTCCTGTCAGCTGGGGGGCTGTCACCTGGGGTCCTGTCACCTGGGGGGGCTGTCACCTGGGGGGCTGTCACCTGAGGGTCCTGTCACCTGGGGGGGCTGTCACCTGGGGGGCTGTCACCCGGGGTCCTATCACCTGGGGTCCTGTCACCTGGGGGGCTGTCAGCTGGGGGGCTGTCACCTGGGGGGCTGTCAGCTGGGGGTCCTGTCAGCTGGGGGTCCTGTCACCTGGGGGGCTGTCACCTGGGGTCCTGTCACCTGGGGTCCTGTCACCTGGGGGGCTGTCACCCGGGGTCCTATCACCTGGGGTCCTGTCACCTGGGGGGCTGTCACCTGGGGTCCTGTCAGCTGGGGATCTGTCAGCTGGGGGTCCTGTCACTTGGGGGGGCTGTCACCTGGGAGGCTGTCACCTGAGGGTCCTGTCACCTGGGGGTCCTGTCACCCTGGGTCCTGTCACCTGGGGGGCTGTCACCGGGGGGTCCTGTCACCTGGGGGGGCTGTCACCCGGGGTCCTGTCACCTGGGGGGCTGTCACCTGAGGGTCCTGTCAGCTGGGGGCTGTCACCCGGGGTCCTGTCACCTGGGGGTCCTGTCACCCTGGGGTCCTGTCACCTGGGGGGCTGTCAGCTGGGGGGCTGTCACCCGGGATCCTGTCAGCTGGGGGTCCTGTCACCTGGGGGTCCTGTCACTTGGGGGGGCTGTCACCTGGGAGGCTGTCACCGGGGGGTCCTGTCACCTGGGGGGGCTGTCACCTGAGGGTCCTGTCACCTGGGGGGGCTGTCAGCTGGGGGGCTGTCACCCGGGGTCCTGTCACCTGGGGGTCCTGTCACCCGGGGGGCTGTCACCTGGGGGTCCTGTCACCTGGGGGACTGTCACCTGGACACAGACCCCTGGTAGAGGCCTGGGGGCCCTGTGTCGCCAGGCTGAGGCCTCCTGTCCCTGAGCGCCATGTCCAGGCGGCTGTGCCGTGCCCCCGCCTGCCCAGGTGCCTCCTGGAAGCCCTGCCCTCCCTCTGGGGCCAAACACCCGCTCTGGCCTCGCCACCCCCTCCCCCTTCCCCAGCACCAGCAGCCCCCTGGCCCGGCCTCCATGGCTCCCGCAGTGCCAGGGGGCTGGCCCTCTGTCCCGGGCACCTCCCGAGTGCGACCCCAGCAGCCGGAGGGGACATGGGGGACCACAGGCCCAGCGCCGTTCACCCCTCTGCCCACAGCTGTGTGTGCGCTGGCCCCTCTGCAGAGCCTGGGCACGCCAGCCACTCTCGGGGGCGAGAGCCTGCGGGGCCCAGGGGGCAGTCAGGCCGGGGCCCCAATGCCGGCCTCTGGCCCCTCTCCCGCCCAGCCCGGCCTGCCCTGCCCTGGAGGTCATGGGCAGCCACCAGCTCTGCTGCTGGACCCTGCCGCTCGCACCCTGGGTACGGGGTAGTCTCCGTCCTCAGGAATGAAATCGGGTGCCCTTGTGCCTGCCTGCCCGCCACCCTGCCCGCTGCCTGCCACTCACCTGCCCACCACCCACTGCCCACCACCCTGCCCGCTGCCTGCCACTCACCTGCCCACCACCCGCCCACCACCCTGCCTGCCTCCCGCTGCCCGCCACCGCCCACTCACCTGCCCACCTGGCCGGGCCGCATTCCCTCCCCGGGAGGAGCTGACCCCGGCTGCCTGGGCGCTGAGTCACAGCCTCGGCAGGTTGGGCTGGTCCAGGGGCTCGGCTGTGGCCTCCCCAGCACCCCACCCCGAGACGGACCCTGCCCCGGCTGTTTGCACACAAACTGGAGCCTCCTGCGTCCCATGCGCACAGGGTTCCGTCCCGAGGGACCGAGGCCCCGCTTCCCGGAGCTGCACTCCTGGGGCCACCCCCTGCCCCGGCCCCGGCCCCGCCCCCTCCCCGCCCTGTCCCCGGCCCCGGCTGTGCAGCCCACCATCCCCGAGCCCTCCGGGCCCCAGGAGCCCAGTCCCGTCAGCCCGCAGCCACTGCCCCTGCCTGCCCAGGCCCCGCCCCGCCCCGCCCGGCTTGTGTCCGCAGCTCCCCGGCCGGTCCCACAAGGGAACCCCCAAAGGCTGCGGGACCGTCAGGTTCTGGGAACCAGGCGAGCGGGCGCCCTGCTCTTCCCGTTCCCGGGACACAGGCGCCCTCCCTCCGTTTTGAGGGGCCGGCTGGGCCCATGACCCCTCTGTGCGGGGAGCCCCTGCCTGGCCTGAGGGCTTGGCCGGCTGGGCCCCTCCAGCTGGTCCCTGAGTGGAGGCTTGGTCTCCTGGGCCTCAGTCTCCTCGTCCATAAAACGGGACAACAGTGAGGCTCAGGGGGCCTGGCGGGGCGCTGTGCCCCGGGGCCTCAGGCCCTCCTCGCTCCCCACCCCTCGCCCCCCCTGCCCTCCGCTTCTCGTCTGTCCCTCCCTCTCTCACTCTCAGTTTCCTTCCTCGCGGCCACATGTGGTGGCACCCGCACTGCCCGCTCCGCGTGCACCTGCCTGCGGCCCAGGATGGGGGCGGGCGGGGGCGGCGGGGGCGGGAGGCCCCCGTCCTGTTTGTCCGCGTCCCCCGCCAACACAAATGTCACCCTCGTTCTCTCTGAGTCAATTTGCTTTTATTGCCTCCGCTGCTCAAAAGCAATTTTTCAGGAACAAAAAGGTCAGCACGTCCAAGGCTAATCAATTCTGGGCGAGTGGAGCCGCCACCAAGGGAGCCTGGCCGGCGCCCCCCCTGCGTTTATCGCTCCATGATGATTGCGGTGTGGGGGGCGCCCTCCGAGCCCCACACATAAAGCCCGGCACCTGGGAAGGGAGGGGGGCGTGCGTCATGGCCGAAGGGGCGGACAGACCGGCGAGCGGAGAGAGCAGGACCTGCCGCCAAGGGACACGCTGAGGCCGGGCCCCGCCGGCCGCTCCCAGGCCCTCTGCCCGTCGCCGCGGCCTGGGCACCAGCTGCCACCGCCCGGTCTGAGCTCCTCGGGGGTGACCCTCTGCCCCCCGGCCCGTCCACAGGCCCATTTCACAGCCGGGAGGACAGACCGGGAGCCAGTGTGGTGCTCAGGCCGCACAGCTGGAGGCGGCAGCAGGGCCACTTCTTGTTCTTTAGAAACGGCTCAGGGCCCGGCCGGCGGGCTCCGTGGCTGAGGGTCCACCTCTGAACCAGGAGGTCACGGTTCCATCCCCGTCAGGGCACAGGCCCGGGGTGTGGGCTCCCTCCCCTGTGGGGGGCGTGCAGGAGGCGGCCGGTCCGCGATTCTCTCCCATCACTGAGGTTTCTCTCTCCCTCTCCCTTCCTCTCTGACATCAGTAAGAACATATTTTAAAAGTGGCTTAGGCTGTGCACTGTCCAGAACGGCAAATCCATCGATGCAGGAGGCAGGCTGGTGGTTGCTGGGGGGGGGGGGGAAGGGGAATGGGGGCAGGGGCCGGGGAGAAACTGCTCAGCGGGCACAGGGTTCCTTCCGGGCGAAGCTGTTCTTGAACAGATGGAGGCGGCGGCTGCGGACACCCGGGCGCTTCTGCTTAAAATGGTTATAATGTTACAGGAAGTGAACTTGGCGTCAATAAACACTGAGAGCCAAAGGCAGCGGGCCGCGGCGCTTCTGCCTCCTGCTGGCAAGAGGCCGAGCGACCAGCGGCTCCGGAGGCCCCGCCCGGGCGCAGGGGGCAGCGGGCAGCGGGCACCCTGAGCTCCCGCAGGGCCTGTCCTGGGGCCGCGCCCACACGTGGCCCGAGGGCTCCCCCCACAGGTGGGGCTCCCATTTGCCCCCGTTTTTGTTTTCATTAGTCCTCACCCGAGGTGTTTCCCATGGGGGGAGTGGGAGGAGGGGAGAAGTAGAGCCGTGGACGTGAGAGGGACATGGGTTGGTCGCCTCCTGCAGGCGCTCCAGGGCCAGCGATGTAGCCTGCAACCGAGGTACATGCGCTTGGCCGGAACCGAACCCGGGGCCTCTCCGTCTGAGGGCTGATGCTCTACCCACTGAGCCACACCGGCCAGCGCCCCGGGCCCGCGTACAGGTCCCGAGCCCAGAGCCAGCGCCCCCGGGCCCGCTCCGCCGGCAGCCGGAGGCGGACAGGGCGCAGACCGGCCGAGGCCCAACCCGCGTCCGCTGAGCCCCGAGCCCAGCCCACCGCCGCCGTGGAGGGGAGACGCTACAAGCCTGTTCGTTTCTTCAAACCGAGAAGCGCCCGGCGTGCCCTCGGCCCCTGAGCGGGAGCCGCCCCCCGGCGGCCGGAGGAACTCCCGGGGCGCTCTGCCCCCTCCCGGCCCCCTCCCGGCCCCCTCCCGGCCCCCTCCCGGCCCCCTCCCGGCCCCCTCCCTCCCAGGCCTCTGAGCGCCGCGGCCACATGCCACCTGGGCGGCAGCACAAAGGCAGCATTGTGGCGCTGAAGCCGCAGCCGCTGGAAAGGTGTGGGGGGGGCGCAGGGCAGGAGGGGGGAGGGGTCGGGGCGCCCACTCGGCCGCACAAGCGGCTCTTGTTGTTGGAAGTGTCCGCGCGATAAGAGGGCGTTAGAAACGCCGCTCTCTGAGCCGCTGGCAAACAGCAGAAAGTTCAAGGCCGAGAGATACCGAGCGGCCCCTCCGGGCGGCGGGCGGGCGGCTGGGCGGGGCCTGGGCAGCCGCCCGTGGTCACCGGCTGGACCGGAGGGGACTCTGTCCGAATTCTCCCCGCGGCTGCAGGCGCCCCCTGGCCCGTCAGCATCTCCCTGACTCCTCGCCCCCCCAGCAGGTGCTCCGGCCCCCCCTCGGACGGGCGGGGAAACCGAGGCACGCAGACGGGACCACACGCTGGGGCTTGTGCTGAGGGACGTGCCCGCTCTCAGCAGGCCGCGCCTCCTGTGGATCCCAGGAGACTGTCCCTTCGGACGTCCGGTTTGGGGAGGAGACACAGCGGCCACTTCCTGTTGTGGCTCCTGCTCTTGGGACGTGGGCTGACTGTCCGGGGGCCCGGGCCGGGTTCCGGGGTCCCTGCCACCCCCGCCCCCGCTGGCGGCTCGGTGCCCAGCTGGGACCTGGTGGGGCGGCCATCGTCCTGGGTCGCGGGAACCAGCTGCCCAGAGGGCGGGGGGGGGACTGCAGGGACGCGGTCAGGGTAGGGTCTGGGGCTGGGCTCCGGGTTTGAATCTGGGGCCACTGAGCAGCTGTGTGACCTTGGACAGGTTACTTAGCCTCTCTGTGACTGGGCTTCGGATTCTAGAAAACGAGGATAACCGCCCTACCTCATGCGGCCACCAGGAGGAGTGACTGAGCGTGGTGGCTGGGTCCCTGCGCGTTTAGGGGCCCAGAGACTCGGGGCCCCTTATTCTGAATGTGCTGCCTTGTGCGGACTCCTGGCTCCTCCCCGGTTACACAGCAAGAGGCGGGGGTGGGACCAAAGCCGCTGTCTCCCCCGACCCCCGTTCCCCCCACACCCCTTTCCCCCCACACCGTCCCCCTCCCCCCCCCCTCGTTCCCCCCACCCCCTGCCCCCACCCCCTCGGCCACTGGCCCGGCTCCTATCTGATGGCCAGCCGCACCTGTCGCCCGTGGTCCGTGGTCCGTGGTCCGTGGTCTGTGGCCGCGTGGCCGGGGGAGGGTGCGCCTTCATTCCGGTGGTGTTTGCCGAGCGGCAGTTTATTAATTTACCGTCCGGCAAACGGGCGAGGCCGCTCCGCCGCTCCAGGCGTGGGGGCGCCGGGGCCTGTCAGGCCAGGCCGGCGGGTCCTGGGAGGCCCGGGGCGTGGCGGGGGGCGGGGAGCCAGCTCTGGGTGACCCCAGAGGGGTCCCGGGAGGTGCCTCCGGGCCCAGGCGGGTGAGCGGCTTCCGGACCACACACAGGCCTCCGGCCCAGCCCCTCGGGGGCCCTCGGCCAGAGTCCTCGGAGGGGCGGGCAGGGCGGGGCGTCCACTCTGAGGCCCCAGGGACCCGCCAAAGGACAGAGCTCCGCCCACCCCCTCCCCCGGCCCCTGCGCACCTGGCAGGGCCCGGGCAGCCCGGTTCAGTCCAGAGGCCCTGCTGTCCGGTCAGGACCCCGGGGCACCCCGCCCGCCCTGCGCCCGCCCGAGAGGCGGGGCAGTGAGGGGCCCCCATCCTTCGCCGCCTGCGCCCCGGAGCGGGGGAGAGGCCCGAGCGGCCGGCAGGTCCTCCGTGACCGCCGGCTCCCCTCCCCAGCCTGCGTCTCGCTGAAAACACGTGTGCGTGTGCACCAGGCGTTTGGTATACAGCAGGCGCTCATGCATGGCTGCTCCCGCTCGCCCCGAGTGGAGGCGCTGAGAGCCCCGCTTCGCAGGTGGGGGTCAGCCTGCGGGGCCCGGTCCCCACAACCCCCCCGGCACCCCCCGGCCAGGCCAGGCCGGACCAGGACGCTGAGTGGGTGGATCCCCACGGCCCGCTGCCCCACTGCTGCCCCCTGAGACCTGTAGGGCTCCGGGGGCCGTCCTCGCTCCCTCCCCCTTTCTCAGGCTGCCCCTCTGCCTGAGGGCCCTGACGCTGGGCGACCCTGGTGGTCCCTCACCCTCTCTGTTCCCACTGCAGGGAGCGGGTTCAAGGCAGCACTGCCCCCTCCTGGCCACTGCGAGCACCGAGGTGGATGGACAGTGTCCACCGTGGGTGTCCACACCCCCCGACCTGCCTGTCCGCTCAGAGGCCCCCTGCTCCGGCCGGCGGCTGGGCCGCGGGTGGTGAGCTCCATCCCGGGTGCCAGCCAGGCTGTGGCTGGGAAGGGGCTGGTGGCCGAGCCCTGCTCCCCCAGGTCCCTCCCAGGGGCCTCCGCCCGCCTCCCGGGGCCCCTCCTGTAGACAGTCTCGGGGGCCAGGGGGCTGGACAGAGGCGTGTACCCCAAACAGAAGAGTCGCCGCTACTCCTGCTCAGGTGGGGAAGCCGGGAGCCCCCCGACTCCTGCCTGTCCGTCAGGGCCCGGCGGGGGCCGGGGGGGGGGGGCTGGGCCGGCAGGCGAGCCGGGGCCCTCTGCTCGGGGCTCCTCTCGTCCTGGCCCCCCCTGCCTGGCCCCCGCTCCCCGCTCCGCCGGACCAGCCACGTCGGCGAAGGCCAAAGGGCTCCTAGGCTCCCACGGGACCCACATCGATCTGATTCCAGAGAAAATGAGCCCGAGGGCTCGAGGGGCCTGCGGCCGGCAGACAGATGTCGCCGTGCTGGCTGCCAGGGCCTCTCCCCTCGACAGCGAGGGCTGCTCCGGGCGCCGGGCTGGGCCTGCGGGTGGCCGGGCTGTGGGGGGCTGGCCTTGCTGGCAGGCCGGGGGGGCGGGGGGGGACTCGGAGGGTCCGGTGGCGGTGCTGGGCGGGGCTCAGAGCAGAGGCCTGTCCTCAGGCCCCTGGGGCCCCTGCTCTCCTCCCGGCCCCTGGTCTCACCCGAGCGGCCCTGGCAGAGCTGCCGGCTCGGCTGGCACCGTCCCTTTAATTAGATCACCCCGTCCCGCTGTCATCGGATCATTCCATTTATCTGGGTGCGCCTGTCTGATTGGGTGCGGGCCCACGGAGGGGCCGCCTCCTCCCCTCCCCTCCCCTCCCCTCCCCCCCCTCCCCCGCCTCTCTCCCACTCCCACCCGGTCCCCCCTTTTCCCCTCCCCCCCCCCAAGCCCCCAGCCCTGTCCAGGCCCCTGCCATCTGGTCCCGTGTGTCCCTGTCTGTGGGCCTCCCCCTGCCCCCGGAGCAGGAGCCACACACTCCATGGCTCCGAGGAGCGGGCCAGGCCTGAGGGCCGAGAGCAGAGGACACAGAGGCCCCAGGAAGCTGGCGAGTCCGAGGGGGAGCCCTCCCGCGCCCCCATGGGAGGTGCCGGAGGAGGTCTCTGCGGACACGGGGTGGGGGGGCCCCTCCTGCCTGGACCTGAGCGCCCGCCGGCCGCCCGCCCTCCCTCCCGGAGGCCAGTTCCCGGTGAGAAGCCGGGCTCGGCCGAAACCCCACCAGCAGCTGCCCCCACCACCGCTGGGCCTGGTCGGATGGGTCAGGACAGCTGGGAACGGGAGTGGGCACCCGGGCACCAGCCTCCAGCCTCCGCCACGCTGCCCGGCGCCCCGAGGCCTGGGCCGGGGTGCCAGGCAGGCCGTCCAGGCTGGGGAACGTGCTCTCCGGAAAGGAGAGGCCTCCGGGGCAGGCCTGGTCCGGGCCGGGGTCAGGCCCGTGACGGGGGTGTGCAGGGACCCCGAAGGCCGGGCCAGGCTGGGGACCCGGAGCTGGGGTGACTCTGGGCCCACTGGGGGCTGCCCCGAGGCTGCACTCAGCGGAGGGCCGAGGGGAAGGGGGGAGGCCCCCGGCACCCGATGGTCAGTCCTACGACTCAGTCTGCAGAGGCCTGGCCTCTGTGGGGGAGGGGTGATGGGGGGGGAAGTGGGGGGCCAACTCCCAGCCTTGCCGCCCCACCCCACCTGCAGGCACCCGATGTGACACCGGAGGGCAGTGCCACTTCCTGCCTCCCCCCCACCCCCCCGTCACCCCTGGTCCCCCCAGGCTGCCCCCACCAGTGGCCAAGAGGTGTCCATTCCAGGCTCAACCTGTCTCACCCCGTCAGAGCCACTCCACCCCCGAGGCAGCCTCACCCCTGTGCACCCACCTCACCCCCCCCCAGGCAGCCTCACCCCTGTGCACCCACCTCACCCCCCCCCCAGGCAGCTTCACCCCTGTGCACCCACCTCACCCCCCCCCCCAGGCAGCCTCACCCCTGTGCACCCACCTCACCCCCCACAGGCAGCCTCACCCCTGCCCCATGCACCCACACCCCCCACGTCCTCACCAGGCTGTTTCGGCCTAAAAACTCACTTCTCTTTATCTGCCCGGCTCAGGAGGTCACGTGGCCCGGTGGAGCAGTGAGACCAAGAACGGGGACATTCCCACCTGAACTAACCGTGGACAGGACCTGGGAATTCACCAGAAAACTCTGGAGGAGGAGGGAGCTTCCTGGAAGCGGGAGGCATGCTGTTTGGCGGGCGGATGGGGTACCCAGGGCACCTGCCCCGAGGTCTCTGAAGGCTGCCCACAGGGCAGGGGGCGGCGGGAGGGTGGGCGGCCGAACGGGCCTGGGCCTCGGCCCCCGCACCGCCGGCCGGCGCCGCCCGCTCCAGGCCCGCGATGCGTGGGTTTCCTCAGAGGCCGGGACCCACAGCAGGGGCTTCAGGGAGCTACCAGGGGACAGGGGGGCCGAGGGCAGACGCTTCTCCGCACTGAGGCCAGGGGTCTAGAGAGTGCCAGCAGGTGGAGTGGACAGGTATGGTGCCCGCCCCTGGCACTCCCTTCGCTGGTTCATTAGCCCTCGCGACATTTACTATCCTTCAGTCCCTGATGTATTTAACAGATTTTTATTGATTTCAGAGAGGAAGTGAGAGGGAGAGAAACATTGACGACGACAGAGAATCATTGATCTCCTGCCTCCTGCACGCCCCCTGCTGGGGACCGGGCCGAAAACCGGGAATTGAACCGTGGCCGCCTCCTTCACGCAGTGAACTAGGTTACGCTCAACCGGAGCCACGCTGGCCGGCTCTCCTGACTTTTGTCACTGCGGTGTCCCCCTCAGAGGCCTCTGCCTGTCCCCCCGGGGCCGGGTCCAGCACGGCCCGGCCACGGCCTCCGTGAGCCGCTTAACCCAGGCCTGTATCCCACCGGGAGAGTTACACCCGCCAGGCCATGGGCGAGTAGCCACTAGGACCCCCGGTGTCTTTTTCTGTTGACACGGGGCCCATCCCCTGCCCCGTCCCCCTCCCCCGGGGCAGCCAGCCCTTCGCAGGCCCCTCGGGGCGAGGGCGGGCGCTAGCCGGTGCCCCCGTAGGGGCAGCCGTCCGAGCCCGGGGGGTGGCCCGTGCACTCCACGGCGGGCATGCACCCGCTGTCCCACATGCCGCTGCCGCACAGCTTGCACAGGTCGTGCAGGCTGCAGGGGATCCGGGGCCGGAGGCGGAACTGGTACAGCAGACTCCTGGCCTGCAGAGAGGGCGGGCGGCGGTGAGGGCCCGGCCGGCAGCATGGCCTGCGCCTGTGGCTGACCGCGTGCCGGGCTCTGCCAGTGTCCCATCCCCCGCAGGCAGGGGCCCTGGGCCGGCCGGCCGGCAGGAGCCGTCCTCATGAACTGGGGACCCCACCCAGGCGCCGCACAGCAGTGCCCTCCCCGACAGGAAGGCACCCCAAACGGCCTTCGTCCGAAGGGCGGCCAGGGCGCACAGGGCCCTGCCGGTTCCTAGGACCCCCCTCACCCGGCCCACTGCTCTGCCCGCCCCGGCTCCCGGCCCTGCAGGGTCTGCTCCCACCACACAGGGCTGCGAGGGAGGGGCTCTGCACATGGGGGGGCTCTGCACGTGGGGGCGGGGCTGTGGGGGAGGAGTCCTGACGGGCTCTGTCCATGGGGGCTGTGGGGGCGGGGCTCTGCACCTGGGGGAGGGCCTTGTGGGGGCGGGGCTGAGGGGACGAGCTCTGCACATGTGGGGGCGGGGCTCTGCACGTGGGGGTGGGGTTTGGGAGGAGCTCCGTACGTGTGGGGGAGGAGCTCTGCACATGTGGGGGCGGGGCTGGGGAGCTCTGCACGTGTGTGGGGGTGGGGCTCTGCAGGTGGGGGCGGGGCTGGGGAGGAGCTCTGCACGTGTGTGGGCGGGGCTGGGGAGGAGCTGTGCACGTGTGTGGGCGGGGCTGGGGAGGAGCTCCGCGCGGGGGCGGGCTCACCTTGCGCAGGACCAGCTCCCCGTTCATGTGCATGGCCAGGTTTCCGAAGTGCAGGAGCATCTGGTCGGTGGCCAGCTGCTGCTCAATGACGTCATCCCCGTAGATGGCCACGATGGCCACGCAGATGAAAAGGTGGAAGTAATCCGTCTGTGGGGTGGAGAGGGGGTTCAGGGAGGCCCTGGCCCCGCTCCCCGCTGTCTGTGGGGTGGAGAGGGGGTTCAGGGAGGCCCTGGCCCAGCCCCCGGGCTGCCGGGAGGAGACGGCAGAGTGCAGGCGAGGCTGTTTGGGGTCCGAGGCCTGGCAAGCACAGCCGCCTCGGTCCTGTCTCCCCACCTGCAGGGGCCGGTCATTCCCACAGCGCTCAGCACCCCCAGCTGTGCCCCTGTGGGGGACACTGAGCTTTGTCTGGGGGCAAAGCGCGTCCCCTGAAGGCTGGCTGGTGCTGGTGAGAGGGCGTGGGAAAGGCTGTGAGAAGCCCCAGCGGCTCAGGGGCCGCGCCCGGGGCCAAGAACCGTGTGGCCGCTGCCCCCGCCAGGGCCCTCCCCAGCGCCAGCCCTGCCCCGAGGCGCCCGAGGTTTGGGGTGAGGACCGGAAGAAGCCCCTGATGGAGCCGGCCGGGGAGTGTCAGTGCCGCCCGCAGGCAGGAAGCCGCTCTCCGCCCTGACCTGGGAGCATCCTGCTGTCCGCTGTCCGGACGGATGGGCTTCCGGGGGCAGAGGAAGGACAAGGAGTCCGGGAACCGTATTTAGTCTCCGGCCGCGGCGGGGCCCGCAGTGCGGGCAGGGCGCCGCAGCCCACGCCCAGGCCCGGCCTGGGACAGGATGGCGGCCCCTCCGGAGCTGTCCGCCTGGCCGGGTTCGGCTCAGAGGTCCTTCCCGGCTCGCGGGCTCCGGGCGCTGGGAAGGCAGCAGAGGCTCCAGGCAGGTGGGTAGCCGGGGGCGCGTGTGTGTGTGTGTGTGTGTGTGTGTGTGTGACATGCCCTGAATCGGCCGGCGGCTCCGGCTGTTTCCAGTTCCCAGGACACGGCCCAGGGGGCCCGGCCCCGAAGGCAGCGACAAGAATGAGCCTTCCACAGGAAAGGGCCCTGGCAGGGGCTCCGCCGGCCGAGCATCCTCCCGGGCACAGAATGGTCACGGGTTCGATCCCCAGTCAGGGCTCCTATCCGGGCTTTGCATCCAATCCCGTCAGGGCGTGCACAGGAGGCAACGGATGGATGTTCCTAACACTCCCCCTCCCTTCCTCTCTCTCTCAAGTCATTAAAAACATTTTAAAAAAACTTAGACACCCACTGTCTGATGAATCAGCGTGCCCCACTGTCCTCACCCCCCACCCCCCAGAGGAGCCGCGTGGGCTGAGCTGAGCTGGAAGCTGGGGGACGCCGGGAGCTGGAGCCCAGGGCGGCCTCGGCACCGGCGCCGGGGATGAAGTAGCCGCAGAGCCGCCCGCCCGCCCGCCCGCCTGGGTGCTCAGGCGGCACCGGCAGCGCCGGCCCAACGCTATGCTGAGGGCGGCCATGCGGCTGCCGGAGAGGCGGGAGCCTGGGGGCAGACCCAGCGGGGCGGGTGCCTCGGAGCTCGGAAGCCCACCCAGCGCGCGTCCCCATGGCGTGCTCCCCGCCCGCCGGCAGGATCTGTGAAGCGGCCGCCCGTGCTGCCCGGGGAGGGTCCCAAGGGGGTCCTGCCGCCTCCCGCTGAGCCAATCCGGGTTTTGGAGGCCGAGGGATTCCGAGACCCGCTGTCCCTCAGCGTGGCCAGCTGTCGCTCACCCGGCGCTAAGCCGTGTGACAGCCGCGCGGGGAGACGCTGATGGCGGACGGCAGCGGGAGATGGGCGCGATCGGGAGGGGGCGGGCTGGGCCTCGCTCCGGGGGGACGCGGGGTCTCGGCCTGTGCGCTGAGCCGTCCCGCAGGAGGAGGAGGGGGCACGTGGCGTGCTGGCTGCCGGGCCGGGCGGATGGGCTGTGACAGGGGCTGCCCCCCAGAGGGGGCCGTGAGCACGTCAGCAGGCAATCTGCATCCACTTCAGCTCCTGGGAGGCGAGGTGGGCCAGAGCCGCCGCGGGAGACGGAAGGCGGGCGTGTGAGGCGCTGACCAGGGCCGGCGGGGGGCCAGGCCCCAGAGGAGGGGCCCCGAGGAGGGGCTGGTTACGGGCACTCTGGCCTCCTGGAAGGCAGGGCCCAGGCGGGGACTGTGGCTCCAGCACGTGCCCCCCATACTCCCCTCCCCCCCCCCCCCCCCGTACCCCCGCCCCGCCCACCTGGTAGTGGGCCCAGCAGGCCTCCCAGATGTGCAGCGCCTCGGCCTCGGGGAACTCGCGCTTGAAGCACAGCAGCAGCCAGCGGTGGCAGAAGAGCAGCTGCAGGCCGTCCTGGCCCAGCGCCGCCAGGTGCTGGTAGAAGCGCGGGTGCGCCAGCCGCAGCAGCTCCCGCAGGTACAGCTGTGGGCAGCTCGGTCAGCCCGGCCCGGCCCGGCCGGCCGGCCGCTCCCATGAGGGGGAGCCTGCCGCGGGGCCTGAGAGCGGCCTGCGCCCTCCCCAGGAGCCCCAAGCCAAGTCCCCCCGCCCCTCCGCCCCAGCGGCCCGCGCAGCGCACCAGCTGCCGCTCCATGTCCTCGTCCCGCGGCGAGCTGACGAAGATGGTGTTCTGCATGAGGCCCACGAAGCACCAGAAGGTGTCCGACTCGTCCAGCACCTCGGCCAGCAGGGGCGCCACCAGGTCCGACATGCCCTGCGAGTAGCCGATGGCCGGGTGGTACACCGCGTAGTTCAGCAGGATCCTCCTGGACGTGCCAGAGGCAGCCGGTCAGGAGGTGCCGCGCACGCCCACCCAGGCCCCCACCGGCGGCCGGCCGCCCGGGGCCAGCAGAGCCCAGGCCGGAGGCCGCGGCTGCCCGAACCCCTGCCCTCGCATCAGTCCCGGGGGAAGGCGGGTGGCGGATTGTGTGCCATCACGTGCCAGACGGCAGCGGAGTGGTCACGATGCCGGCCCAGGCCAGTGTGGGGTTAGACGGAGGACCAGCCACTGGGAGCCCCTGGGGGAGGCTCAGCCACAGTGTGAGAGCCGAGCAAGGCCCAGCAAGGCCTGGGTGTGTGTCCAGGGCCTGGCGGCTTCACTGGCACCTCAGGAGGGACCTCTGGGCTGGCCTGGGACACTGACCACAGAGGCTGAGTGAAGTTGGCTAAAACAGCTAAAGACCTGTCCAGCTGGCGTGGCTCAGGGGTTGAGCACTGACCTATGAACCAGGTCAGGGTTCCATTCCCGGTCAGGGCACAGGCCTGGGGGACGGGCTCCATCCCCAGTGGGGGGCGTGCAGGAGGCAGCCGATCCATGATTCTCATCATTGATGTTTCTGTCTCTCTCTCTCTCTCTCCCTTCTTCTCGGAAATCAATGAAAATATTAAAAAAAAAAAAATAGCTTCTGGGTGATTGTAAGCCCCACCCCCAGCCGCGCGCCAGCCCACGCCCCAGGGCGAGGCCGGGCGCACCTCATGCTCTCCACGTTGGGGTTGCCCTCGCCGCGGAAGAACTGGCTGCTGCGGTCGGTCCGCACCACGTCCTTGTCCACCGTGAACTGCACCTTCCGCCAGAACTCCCGGTGCTCCGCGGGGGTCATGGAGAGCCTGGCACAGGGAGGCCGGTCAGCGGGGGCGTCCCAGCGTGGCCTCCGCCTCGGGGAGGAGAGCTGACCGCAGCCCGGGGTCAGCCAGGCCCCTCGGGCCTCCGCCGCCCGGCTCCTGAGGCCCTCGGCCACCCCAGCGTCCAGGTGAGTCTGTGGGCGAGAGCCCTGCAGCTTGGCGTGGCCCAGTGGCGGGCAGCGACCTCTGAACCAGGAGGTCACAGTTCGATTCCCTGTCCGGGCACTTGCGGGGGTTGTGGGCTTGATCCCCAGGGTGGGGCGTGCAGGAGGCAGCTGACCCGTGATTCTCTCTCCCCCTGGATATTTCTCTCCCTCTCCCTTCCTCACAGAAATAAATTTTAAAAAATTTAATTAAAAAAAAAACTCTGAAGGGGGCCTGGGGTCATGAGGCTCCCGGTCCCGGCAGACCGCACCCACAGGCCCCCCTACCTCCGCCGCTCGATCTCCGCGTACTCCTGGCGCTTCCGCGCGCGCAGCGCCTCCCTCTCCTGGGACGTGGACTCGGGGCGGTAGAAGCCCAGCAGGAAGGGCCACACCTCCCCGCGGAGGGACACGTCGATGCCGCCGAAGAAGATGGCCTGCGGGCGGGGGCGGCGGGTCGGGAAGGGCCCGGCGGCTCACAGCGCCCCCGGGTGCCCGCTCCGGCGGCTGCGCCTCCGGACACTGAGGCCCCGGTGCGGCCGCGGTTTGCACTGTTTGGAGGGAGCGCGGCCCCTTTCCCAGGCGCAGAGCCAGGCGCACGTCAATGTCAAAGGCCCCCGGGGGCGGGAGGAACTGCGGTTCTCAGGTCGCGGCCTAATCCCCGGGTTTGGGCTCAGCACAGGCCTGATGGAGGCCCCAGCCCCCGGGAAGCGGCTTTGATGGCTAACGGGGCGGCTCCCAGCTCCTCCAGCCCGGGCCCCGGCCCCCGGCCCCACCAGGCGGCCCCGCCCCATCCCGCCCGCCCCGCCCCAAACCCCGTCCCACCGGGCAGCCCCGCCCATCAGGCTCCGCCCCCACAAGGCGGCCACACCCACCCTGACGGTCCCGCCCCTCTGACCCCGCCCTCACTCTGACAGCCACGCCCCCAGACAATGGACCCGCTCCCGCTCCGGTGGCCCCGCCCCAGACAGTGGCCCCGCCTCCACCCTGGTGGCCCCGCCCCCAGACGGTGGCCCCGCCCCGGGGCCTCACCTTGCGCAGCTTGTACTCCTCCTCCAGCTGGCCCAGCTCGTTCAGGTGGCGCAGCCAGGCGGCCACGTCCAGCCGGGGGTAGGCGCTCTCCTCGGGGTGCGTCTCGGAGGAGGGCAGCTTGGGGCGCCGGATGGAGAACTTCATGCACGTCTTCTCGTCGGCCACCTGCTGGGCAGGAGGCAAGCGGGACTGTCCCACTGCCCACCCCGGCGTCGAAGCCAGCTGTGTTGGGGGGGGAACACGGACACGGCCCCTCTCCCCTGCACCAACCCCTGGGTGGCAACTGTAACCACACACAATCAACATGGAGACAGCCTCATCTTCCCTGTTTCCCGGGCCTGGGCTCCCTCCCACCCACAGCCTGCCCCCGCCCGCCCCCCTCCCTCCCACTGGGTCCCCGCCCCCCACCCTCCCTCCCATTGGGTCCCCGCCCCCCACCCTCCCTCCGACCCACAGCCTGCCCCCGCCCACCCCCCCACCCTCCCTCCCACTGGGTCCCCGCCCCCCACCCTCCTCCGACCCACAGCGTGCCCCCGCCCACCCCCCCCACCCTCCCTCCCTTCCATTGGGTCCCCGACCCCCACCCTCCCTCCCACTGGGTCCCCGCCCCCCACCCTCCCTCCCACCCACAGCCTGCCCCCGCCCCCCCCCACCCTCCCTCCCTCCCATTGGGTCCCCGCCCCCCACCCTCCCTCCCACTGGGTCCCCGCCCCCCACTCTCCCTCCCACCCACAGCCTGCCCCTGCCCGCCCCCCCCCACTCACCCTCCCATTGGGTCCCTGCCCCCCACTCTCCCTCCCACCCACAGCCTGCCCCTGCCCCCTCCGCCCCCCACCCTCCCTCCCATTGGGTCCCCGCCCCCCACCCTCCCTCCCATTGGGTCCCCGCCCCCCACCCTCCCTGCCACCCCAGCCGCAGAATGGAATCAATGCCTGTTTGGGCCGCTCCCGCCTCGGCTGGAAGGGCCTGCAATAAATTACAAGTGATTGGCCACATACAAAGGGAGCCTGTTCGGGAGCCGCCTGTCAGGTCGTCTCCACGGGCAGTCGTGATCCAGGCAAAACTGCCGCTGACATTTAATTCAGAAATCAAAGGTTGTCCAGTGGGGGGGCGGCTGGCGGGAGGCTCAGGCTGTGGGAGGGGGCGGTAAAGCAGCCGTTTCTAATAAGCACGTACAGGTCCTTAAACAGGTCATTAAGGAGCGCTTATTACGTGTGTGTGGATGGAGCAAAATATGGCAGCAGCCTTGTCAAAACATGACCGCAGAGAGAGGCCGGCGTTTCCAGGAGCCTGGGCACCCGTTTCCAACCCAGAGTGACTGCCCCATCAGCCCTGGGCACAGCCCACGAGGCCATGGTCAGCCACAGCCTCGAGACCACGGTCACAGCCCGTGAAGCCACGCCCACAGCCCACCATGAGGTCACAGTCATAGTCCGGGAGCCACAGTCAGAGCCCATGAGGCCACAGTCAGCCCGTGAAGCCACGCCCACAGCCCAGAGGCCACAGTGAGCCCTCGAGGCCGCGCGGGAGGAGGCGTGGAGCCCGGGCGGCTGCCTACCTGGCCGTGGAGGCGGGTGCCCGCGCAGCGCTCCCACCGCTGCAGCGCGCCGGCCAGCTTGTCCAGGCCGCCGTGGTGGAAGTGGAGCACCTTGTACTGGCTCTCGCGGCTGGCGACCACCAGCTGGCCGCTGGTGCAGGCCTCGTCACTGCGTGGGGAGGGGGAACACGGGCTTGTCCCAAGGACAGTCAGAGGCCGCGGGGCTGACCTTGGGGCAGGGGACAGGAGTCCTGCAGAGCTGGGCTGCTGGCGGGGGCAGGGGCAGTGCGTCCAGCAGAAGCGCCCCCTGTCCCCCTTGTCCCCCCGCCCGCTTTGCTGAAGGCATGGAAGCGCTGCTCCTTCTCAGGACCAGGGTCCAGGCCTGGTCTCCTCTGCCCCCTGTCCCCACGCTCGCCGCCGGCAGGAGGGCCCTCCCGCGGAGAGGGTGGCAGGTGCTCCGGCCAGGTGGGCGGCAGTGAGAGCCTCCTCGTGGGCACCTCCAGCAGGCATGGGGCATGCTGGGATATTCCCTCCTCCCCCCGGCCCCGCCACCACCACCCTGAGGGCGGATGAGTGAGTGTGGGAGCCCCCCGGGCCCTCTTCCTGGGGGCGCCATGGCGGGCCCCCCTGTGGCCGCACCAGCGACGCCAGGCGGCGCCCGCGGCCGCTCACCTGAAGAAGAGGCGCAGGGAGCGCATGTGCCCCAGGTCCACGCGGAACACGCCGCAGATCTGCTCCAGCGCCCGCGCCCGCGCCCGCTGGGGCTCGTCCCAGCGCGGGGCCTGCAGGCCGTCGCTGCCCGGGAAGCGCAGGTGAGCGTCCACGCCGGAGGGGGAGCTGCGGGCAGGGCGTGAGATGGCCACGCGTGTCTGTCCGTGTGGCCCCGGGGAGGGACAGGGCGGGCGTGGGGACCATTTATTTATTTCAAATGGTATTTTATTGATTTTTTTACAGAGAGGAAGGGAGAGGGATAGAGAGTTAGAAACATCGATGAGAGAGAAACACCCGTCAGCTGCCTCCTCCACGCCTCCCACCGGGGATGTGCCCGCAACCAAGGCTCATGCCCCTGACCGGAATCGAACCCAGGACCCTTCAGTCCGCGGGCTGACCCTCTATCCGCTGAGCCACGCCGGTTTCGGCTGTGGGGACCACTTCAACGTGCTCCCCGCGTAGACCCTCACACACGGGCCAAACGCACGTGCACACAGCAGGCTCTCAGACACGCATGAACCAACAGGTGAATCCATCGCAAGTCACGGCAATGGCATCTACACGCGGGCGGGAAAGTGTTTTCGTGGCCAAATTCTGTCCCGCTTCCTATGGGCCGAGGAGGCCTCAGTGAAAGCCCTGCTGTGTGGCCTCGGGCTGGTGACCGAGCCTCTCTGAACCTCTGTGTCCTCAGCTGCAACGCGAGGCTCACGGCAGGACGCGGTGCAGGATAAGGCCGTGCGGGGCAGCCTGGTCCCGCGGGCTGCTCCCCGCCGTTCTAGGCAGCATGGGGCTTCGGCTGGGTCCACACTGGCTCAGGCTCTTCCGGAACAATCACTGGCCCACTTAGGGAACGTGCGGCCATTACTGTTATTGATACTGACCGTGAACATCTGTTAAACACCCAGCATGGGCTGCCCTGGGTTAGCCACCCCTCAGGAGCTGTGGCCAGCCTCCCGATGACCCTGTGGAGTGGGTAGTGCTGGGACCCCATGCACAGAAGGGGACCGCGGCCCAGAGAGGCTGAGCGACCTTCCTGAGGCCACACAGCGGGCAGGTGGGCGCGGGGGGACTAGAATCCCAGCGCCGGGGCGGGTGCCAACGTGGAATGTGGGAAACAGTCTGGCAGCGACTCAGGCCAAACACCCTCTCCCGGGCGTTCCCCCGGGAGGCCTGGCAGCGTTCGCACAACGTCTGCCAGGACGTTTCGGCAACGGCATTCGCAATGGCAACACCAGGAGCGACCGCGCGTCCCTCCACCGGCAAACCGAGGCCCACGGCGCTCCTCTGGCAGGGACCGCGGCTCAGCGACACAGAACAGCGGGCGGCGGGGACGGAGCGGCCGGCGATGCCCAGGAGCAGGCCTCCCACACAAACAGCCAGCGTGACGCTCCGTGCACCGCGTTGAGTGAAAGAAGCCGGACCCAAAGCCGCACGAAGGACCACTCAGCCTCACTGACGAAGGCCCAGCGGAGAAAGGAGCGGCTTCTGCAGGTGGAGTCAGAGCCGCTGGATATCAGTGTGTGTGTGTGTGTGTGTGTGTGTGTGTTTCTGGAACTCCCACCCCTGCCGCTGGGAATGTACAGCATGAAACACCCACCCACCCAGGACCTGGCCCTGCCACCCCAGGACGTGGCAAGAGCAGGAACAGCGTGTCCGTGGGCAAGGATCCCGCACCCAGGCCGTGGCCGCTTCCTGCATGAGAGCTGAGACCGGAGCGCGGCCCCACCGGAGCCGGTGAAGCCGCGTGGGGGACGCCGGCAACGCCACAGGGCTCGTCGGCGAGAGAAACGAAGGTGCTGAGGATGGGGTGGTGGCGTGGACACACGGAAGACTCACCATGGGACAGAGAAGCCAGACAGACAAACACAACAACACACACCTGCGTGATTCGTTCACATCAGACTCCGGGAAATGCACACGCGTGTACCGTGACAGACAGGTAGGTCGTGGGGGGCGGGCCGGCGGCGAGGGCGCCTCCCAGAGGCGCCGTGAGCCCTGGGGTGGGCGGAGGTTTGTTACCGCGATGGTGGGGTGGGTTCATGGCATGCACACGGCAAAGCTCAGCACACCGGGCACTTCAGATCCACACCGCTTACCGGACCTCAGCCACACTTCCATGCCGACCGGAAGACCCAACACCAACACAACGCAGTGTGACCACTGGATTTCCAACGGGGGAATACTGTCATACATCGTGATGCATTTTATAAAAGTGTCTATTGACCAAAGATTCTCACACTAGCGTATTGGAAGAAGAAACTAGGATACAAAACCACATGAAATGTGATGTCAATATGATGTTATATGTGATGTATATTGACCTGTATTTTATATCTACACCAGAGGCTGGTGCACAAAATCATGCACAGGTAGGGTTCCTAGGCCTGGCCAGCGATCAGGGCCAATCAGATGCCTTCTCCTCCCCCCCTTCCCTCCTTCCCTCTCTCTCACCCTCAGTGCCCTGCCACCACTGGTGGCCCACCATGTTCCACGCCGCCCCCTGGTGGCCAGTGCATGTCATAGCGATCAATGGAACTCCTGTTCTCTTGGTCGAACTCCGGGGGGGACACTCTGCATATCAGCCTTTTACATATTTAGATGGTATATCAGGAAACTATATCAACATCATAATAAGAAAAACTTTAGTGGCGTGTTGGTGCTTTAGTTTATAAGTATTCTAAAAGGCGCACTGCATCATTTTGACCGTCAGACACAATGAGCTGAACCCAACAACGTATAAAAGGATTACGCCCCACAACACGGAATGCCAAGGTGGCTCCACACACGGAGGCCACACACAGGCCAGTAAAAGCCAGAAACCACAGAACCACCTCGTCAGCTGCAGAGAAAACACGCGGTGACAAACATCCAGCACCTTTCATAACAAAAGCCCTCAGCAGACTAGAAATAGAAAGGTACGCCCGCAACCCGGCAAAGGGCATCCGTGAAAAACCGCAGCTGACTCACCCTCAGGAGCCCCGGTCACTCCCCGGAGGCTCTACTTGGGATGATCAGGTCACGAACACCATGCATGTGCACGCACACAGCTTCACACGCACGCAGGTGAGCACACACGTGGGTGCACACGCATACAGGTGAGCACACACATGCAGGTGCACACGCACATGGGTGAGCACACAGTTGCACACATGCAGCTGCACACACAGTTGCACATGCACACACACAGGTAAGCACGCACACAGGTGCACACAAGCAGGCACGCACGCAGTGTTGGGTCCGTCCACCCCTGGGCTGGGCGCTGCCCGGTCCCGCAGCCCCTGAGGTGGCGGCCGTGCAGGGCAGGCTGGCTCCGGAAGCATCCGGGCATCAATCAGCAAAGCCAGAGCACGCGGCCGAGTGTCCCTGGCTGTGTACCCGCCCAGAGGCCGGTGCTGGCTGCGCGGTGCCGGCTCCTCCGCTAACGTGATTACCGGCCCCAGGCCCGGCCGGAGCCACTGGCGGCAGGAGCCATTTGTTTGTCTGCTCCCTGAAGCATTGACAAACGCACGGAGGCTGAGGGAGCTGGGCCCGCTGATAAACACGGTAATAATAAACACGGTAATCCGTGATTAACAGCCGGCAGGAGGCCATGCTGCCGTGCCCGCCGGCTGCCGGGAGCCCCGGTCCGGCCCACCGCGGCCTGAGACCCCGCTCCCCCGCCCCAGGCCGGGCCCAGCGCCCGGGCTTCAGCCCCGCACCTGGACGAGAAACGGCTTTCCTCGCTGCGCTGCTCTTCCCGATACGTGCAGCCCGCCCAGGGCTGAACCTGGGGGTGCGTGTGAACCAGGGAAATGAGGGGCGGCCACAATTCCCCCAAGCGTGGCCCCGCACGCCTGCCTGTTGGAACTGCTCCCAATGTGCAGCTGAGTGAGGAGCTTGAGGTCCTCAGGCCAGGCCCCCACTGCCTCACCCATCATGTGACTTCTCCAAAGGGGAAGCTGTGACCACATCGAAAAGCTGCGCTGCAGCCCACCCCCCCCCACCCCCCTCTCTCTTTTTTTTAAAATATATTTTATTGATTTTCCACAGAGAGGAAGGGAGAGGGATAGAGAGCTAGAAACATCGATGAGAGAGAAACATCGACCAGCTGCCTCCTGCACATCCCCTCCCGGGGATGTGCCCGCAACCAAGGTACATGCCCTTGACCGGAATCGAACCTGGGACCCTTCAGTCCGCAGACCAACACTATCCACTGAGCCAAACCGGTTTCGGCCATGATTCTCTCTTCAATGAGGCCTCTATGCCTCTCCCTCCCTTCCTCTCTGACGTCAGTAAAACACGTTAGAAGAAAAGAAACACACACGAGGCCGGAGGGGCCCGGCGTGGGCAATGGCCGCGTGGAGCGCCTCCAGGAGCCGCTGACGCTTTATTTTTTAAAATATATTTATTGATTTCAGAGAGGAAGAGAGGAGAGAGAGAGAAACATCAATGATAAGAGAGAATCATTGATCAGCTGCCTCTCACATGCCTCCTACAGGGATCGAGCCCGCAACCCAGGCCTGTGCCCTTGGCCGGAATCGAACCTGGGACCCTTCAGTCCTCAGGCCGACGCTCCATCCACTGAGCCACATGGCCTGGGCAGCAGCCGTCACTTTACAAGGAGGAAGAAATTTGGCTCCTGACCAACCACTCCAGCCGCCAAAGGCCAGGCCACACAGACACAGCGAAACCTGCCGCTCTCAGCACACAGCGGCCCCGCAGACGGTTCCAGTCCCCGCCCGCACGGCTCAGTGGTCAGTGCCGACCGATGACCAGGCGGTCATGGCTCGATTCCCGGTCAGGGCACCGCCGGGTGTGGGCTCCATCCCCAGTGCGGGGTGTGCAGCGATTCTCTCATCATCGATGTCTCTATCGCCCTCTTCCTTCCTCTCTGAAAGCAATTTAAAAATATTTTAAAATAAATAAGTAAACTCACTGGGAGCAGCCCTGCTGGCGGGGGGCACAGGTGGGTGTGTGGCGTGGCCTCTGCCACCGGTGGATGCCCCCCAGCCCCCTTCCCCGCCTCCACGCCCCTGGGGACTGTGCCTGCCAGAGTGAGTGTGGGTGAACGCAGAGTCTCCCTCAGGGTGAGCTGGGGAGCACCCGCCACCCAGCGCCTCCCCAGGTGGCGGGTCCTGGCCAAGGGG